CGTAAACTAACTAACTAACGTACTACTAGTACTCTCTCTCTCTCTCTCTCTCTCTCTCTCTCTCTCTCTATCTGACTAACACAGGGTATAGATGGACGGAAGGGGTTTCTGGCTCGCTATGTACATGCGTAATGCATGTGTGGTCAATGTTCAATAACAATATGCGAACTGGTATTGCACGTTATTTAGCACACAAGGATTCTATGCAATTTGTGACGTGAGTGGGAATTAGTATTCATTACATAAGTGTGGCCATTAAATGGCTTATGAGTGCTTGTGATAAACATTTTGATAAAATGGAACATGAACTCATTGAGAGTGTGGTCCCTCGTGGACCATACTAAGCAAAAGATGTTTGTTGACACCGTACTGATCTTGACGAATTAGGCTAGGCTGTTGGAAAAAACCTATGTTACCTAGGCATAGAAAATTATCTGGTAAGGGTTTTAATAGATTATCCCTTGATGAGGTTGGAGTATACCCGGATGAATGAGCCGAGAGATTGTGATTATTTTGTGTGATGGTGGCCTTCAGAGACGGGGGCCAAAAGACCCATCCATGAACCATCACACGGCATGCACAATGATAGCCGTTTCAGGAACGCAAACTTCCTTTTAAGTTCAAGCTTATGCATGTGCGAGAGATACCCCCTATGCGCCGTAGGAGCTATGGTCGCATCAAGTCTAGGTGATCTTGATACGTCTCTAGGGAGAACCAGAAATCCACAACCTGCGATTACAACTCTTTAGCTCATCGGCCAGACTTTAGTGACCCACTAATGAGCTCCAACATGGACTATGGGTTATAGGAAATACTAGGTTGGTTTGATAAAGCAAGTGTGGACTGTAGTCCACAATTGAAGGTGGAGTGCCCCAATATTTATTATTTAATTCCTATACCATATGAATCATTTTTCCCATCTAATGAATTTAATTATGTTTGTTTTAATGATATATGATTTTTAGAATTATTAATTGGATTTTTTTAGATATATAGATATTTTAGTTATCAAATTTGAATTTATAAAAACAAAGATATTGATTTTAGATTGATTTAAATATTCAAATTAATTTTAAAATATTGTATTAATTTTTAAAAAATATTTTAAATAATAAAAAAAGAGATTGATAGGATAATCGTTAAAGGAAAGAGGGGGATAAATGTTTTAGCACTTTCCATAATGCTGATGGCCCATATATGGAATTGATAATTCAAATCTCTCACCTCACAAATCATCCAAGATCAATAGTTTATATTCAGTCTCACAAGAAGATACAAACCAAAAAAAACCTTGATAAACTATAATCTTGTTCAACCACTATAAATAGGGGGATTGATCCCTACCCAAATCTCTACAGCTAATTCTCATCTCTATCTCTCACATCCCACAAAGGGGGTACGCCCCACTTAGAATATCTCTCTCTCTTAAGAAAGTTTTTTTCTCTCTCTCAAGAGACCCAAAGGGGCACGTCTCACTCTCTCATCTTTGATATATCTCTCATGGTGGTTCCCTCAACTCTCTCACGATCTCTCATCTCTCATTAGGGTTTTAGTAGAAAAAAGAAGCATTTCTCTCAAACTAGGTTGCTAAAGGGATTCACCTAAGAGTTTGATATTTTTGATAAAGGAGTTCATTGTTTATTAGAGGGTTTGACCTAAATTGCTTTCCCAGTTGAGATTGAAAGTGGATCGTTGATCCAGCATCAGATATTGAAAGTGGATCGTCGATCCAGCATCATCGGATGGTGGTGACTTAGTGTGGGGTATAATAGGTCCGGTTGAGGTAATTTCCGACACTCTCTTTTTGTTCATAATCATCTTTAATTATATTATCTTTATGTTCCTAAGCATAATAATTGTGGATATTTTCTTTGTTTAAAGAAAATTGGTTTAGTGGCATCAAGGTTCTTAAGATCTTGGATTTGTTAGTTTTATTTTCTTTGAAGCAAGAGTTATTGTAATAAGATTACTTGTAATGCCCAAAAAAAAGAAAAAGAAAAAGAAAAGAAAAAGAATGAAAAAAAATAAAATAAAATAATATATCCATCAGGCAAGATCACATTAATCTTTCTTTCTACGTGCATGTATGGTACATAGGTGTGGGTACAGTACATTCAGTACTACACACATTGGGAGGTTTCGATTTATTTATTTTTGGTTACATTGGGAGGTTTGCCGTTTGCGGTGCATTTTGATATGTGTGGTGCATGCGCATGAATAATGCATTCTCACTCAAATGGAAATGCAAGATGCACAATGCACCCAAGGCATAACGGAGTGATATAGCATGTTGTGCATAACATGATGATGTGAACCTGTACGGTGCATTCCATATAATACGATGTTGTGACAGCGCGCAGTTTTTTATTATGCATTTGTTTGGTGATTTGCGGATTGCACACTGCACAAAGTAAAGTAAGGAATGTTAAAAGCCCGGACGTAGTGCACACGGTGTGCACAATGCTCATTCCAAGGGCAGGCGTTGCGCCTCCATTTTGCACATGACTAGAGCACATTGAGTAGCACAAAGCGCTGACTTTAGTTGGTTTTTAATAGGTTTGTGTGTGCTGTGGTGTGGTGTGGTGTGGTGTGCTGTGTGGGCACTTCATGCATCGTGGTGCATAGCATATTCTACATGTGTTTGGTTGTTTACATATAATACTAAGTATAATTTATGTTGTGCTCAGTGCGCATGTGTCATGCGAACGTAGTGCATATTGCACAATGCGCGGGTGCACAATGCTCGTCACAAGGGCAAGCAACGGCCCACACTTTGCACATGAAAGTGCACATTGAGTTGCATAAAGCGCGTGTTAAGTGGTGTTGAAGCCATCCCACACTAAGCGAATGTAGACACAATGCGCAAAGGATGGATGAACATTGCGGGCGCGCGTCTGCCTGATATCTACAGTGCATGGTGTGCGTCGTGCAGAACATACGTGGGTGTACAGTACATTCTATACTACGCACATTGGGAGGTTTGGAATTTGCGGTGCATTTTGATCATGTATGGTGCATGTGTATGAATAATGCATTCGCTTAAATGGGTGAACAGGGCAAAACAGGCCTCCAGGTATTTGAAAACATGACACAAAAAAAACTCGCCTATTATCGCACAGAAGAAGCACGGCTACAGAGCACCGGACTTGCTTCAAAGTAAAGAGAGAAAGTATGCACAATTTTTAGAGAGAAACATAGCAGAGAAAAATGGAGAAAGAGAGAGAATCGAGTCAAAAAAGTTTATTAAAATTGGGAAGTTCAATACCTATTTATAGTGGAGCTTAGAAGTGGTTGTTCATATAAACGGTTGTGACTATTCACTCTACACCCATCCAACAGTTATTGATTGCTGAAACAGCCAACAGACTCTACGCCCATGCGCCTAGGCTCAACGGGCCATTGGATTACACACGCAGTCATCCGATGCATCTTGTTAGGTCTGGGTCACATCTTGTAAAAATGGGGCAAGTGAGTCCTAAGCGCGACCTGCACCCAAGCAGGTGTCGATTTGAGCAGAAGTGGAAAGTACACCAACACCCTTGCACCCACACACGAATGACACTTTACGTATTCCGTACATGCACCCACACTCTCATTTCTTCCATGAACATAAAGCATGAGGATGTTCCCACATGAATACCACTCTTTGTACACTTTATTCTTCACGTGGGACTAAAACCCACTACTTTTTCTCTACCTACTAAAACTTAACAAGAAAGTATATTTTTTTTAAATAGAAAAGGTTTATATAAGGATGGAAGCTTAAAATGTAGCATTACGGATGCACCTCAAAAATTCATCGACAAAGGTAGTTTTCATGTTGAAAAACCCTTTGATTGATCTTCCCGATATCGAGATGTATGGCCATGAAAAATAAAAAGATTTCAAGTCTAAAAAATAGTTCGTTTTGCAACATATTATCTACACCGTCCATTTTCAAGATTTTCATATGTTTATAAATCTACTTGATTTTAACCATTTTTTAAATTTAAAATTTTAAAATTAAATATAAAAATATATTTTGAGATAATCCTATGAACATCTTACATCAAAATTATATACCATGACAAAGTTTGAAGGTGCACCTTACCTCTACAGCTAGCTAGAGGATGCATCTTTATGCCAACTGCACCCTTTTTAAATATTATATAATATTTTCAAAACTAAAAATACTAACATTTTTTTGTCCTAAAGCCAAATTCAATCTAGAGCCGGGTGACATGCACGATATACCATCGCAAAGTGACTTTAGGGTAAATAGACTTCAGTTCACAGTAGGACTTTTCCTCTTTTTGTTCTTTTTCTGGTAGAAGCAAACGCTCTGCAGGGTACTTATAATTACTTTACTCCCTCCATCATAAATTTTTTGAGCCACTTTTAAAATCAATCTTGAGTATTTTCCAAAAATAAATTTGAATTTTGAGTTCTTAAACGCTTAAAATCCTATTGTTAGAAATTGAATCTTTGAACATTTATTTCAAGCACGTGTATGTATGTTAGGGCTTTTCTAATGTTGGTAGCTAGGCAGAGGAGGTTACAACCCTAAAGTTTGTAGTAGAGGTTGCAACCCTAAAGTTTGTAGTCCTAAAAATACTTGAGCTCACCGGAGGGAGTGAGTGGACAATATGCCTCCGATATGCTTCCTCAGGAGCATAAACCTTTTTCATCTTTCTTTAAAGGAAAAGTTTATATGAGGTGCCAACCTCATACTGTAGAAGTACAGTACACCTAAAAAACCCACTGGAGAAGGTTGTTCTTATGCTTAAAAAAACCCTCAAATCGATTATCTCTACCTCGATATTCAACATGACTAAATAAAAATAAAAATTTTTAATCCTAAAAATAGTTCATCTTCTAACACATTATAGAGACGGTCCATTTTAAATATTTTTAAGTGCTCATAGATAAGCTTGATTGTCATATTCATATCATAGCAAAGCTTTACGGCATTGAAACTGCATTTTCAGCATAGTTTTGAGATACACCTTACTTCACTAATATAAGGTTGACACCTTCTACAAACTTCACCCTTTCTAAATATATAGGTTAAAATGTTAAGCTGATGAGTTTATCATTCATATCCAAACAAAATTGGATTGCATAACTAAAGCACATCACTTTTACATCAGGATAAGCAAAAAGAAAAAGCCACAAGATCTCTAAGTGCATAAATTAGTCAAACAAGAGAGGAGAATAACCCGGTCTTAGTTTCCTCTCACAAGTGTTAGAGCCAGCAGAGTAGAGTCGACTAACTGAGGGAGCATTTAAATAGAGAGAAATGACATGGCTCGCTTAAAATCCAAGGATTTCATGGCTGCCTGCTGCTGCTGCTGCAGCTGCAAGGGGTGGCTACCATCTGGAACCCAGAGCCTACCACCACCATGAGGCAGTAATATCTGTTGCTGACCGTTATTTGGGCTCCTCTGCCCTTGTTCGTTGGATTTCTTCTCACGATCCTCTGCAGCTTGCTTTTTTTTAACAAACTCGAAAAATTCTGCAACTTGCCGAGCATATCTAGTCACAAACACAAAGCAAAGTACAATCAAATATCTCACAAAGATGAAATATGCTACCATGACAAAAATAGCAAACGTCCCATGCATTTAAATGTAGTATGTCGATAGTTTGGAGGCTAAGAATGATAAGTACAACACATATAAGAGCAAAAAGTCTTTCTTTTTATGCTAGTTATCATTGTAAAATGGTTCTAAGCCATGAATATAATTGCAATCGGTCAACTAACCGCAGGTTTCAACTTTTATATTTCCTTTCAAAGTATGGCAACAGCAGCCAAATTTAGTTGACCTTAGATGGTCGAATGTTCAGGTTCAATCAAAAGTAACGTATCTCCAAACACGCATAAATGGATGTAAGTGCAAAGAATAAAAAGTAAGATATCAAAATTTTCTGGAACTGCCAAAACAAACAATAATAGAACTTCAATTAGAACCATTTATTGTTAAACTCAAGTTTCAAAATACTCGGCTCAGGCTCATGATTTGGGACCTGCCTGAGCCGAGTAACTCGGGCGAGTGGACTCACCTGAGTAGCGTATGGACCACAAAAGGGCCAAAATTTTAAAAACAAAAAGAAATGTTAGAAAAAACATAGTAAACAGCACTGTAACTATGGACAAATAAGATGGGAAAAAAAAACAAACATAAAAGATGGGGAAAATTGACTTATAGCTGGAAATGTTTCAGGGAAAAAAAAAGAAAATATAAATATAGGGCATATGACAGAAAATCTCACAAATCATCATCAAAATCATATACAACATATTTACACATTGATTTTTACAAAGAAAATAATACCTTTCATGAACTTTTTATTTTACCTGAGTTTGTATCTGAGCATTTGGCTCGGTAAGGGGCCGAGTGCAAGTGGATACCGCCGAGTTTTCGAGCGCTGGTTAAACTAGCCTTTAAAATGAGGCTAGAACAGAAAAAAACCTCACAATTGTGAAGTATGGCCAGATCAAAGCAACTGACCAAGACCCTCCTTAAAACAGCCAGGGAATCAACTCTACTTTCCACTTTAGCTGATCCGCATATTTAAAAGGTAAGACAATTATTGTCATGATCAGAAGTCCATTAGAGGATAAAAAAGAAGAAAAGAAATAACTATTCAAAAGATAAGGCATCACATCTTCCTAGATTTTGTGAACCACCTAGAATATCAATTACAATTGCTGACATAGTTTCCTTGAATTAACCCTAGAATGAAACCTGACTACAATCTCATTGGACTCATTTAACAAATGACACCATACAGTAGCCTCTAAAACATATTGTCACCAAGTAAGTTTCCTCTCAAGCAATTGCACCGGGCATAATAATCCTTGACTGTGATTTCAATTAAGCATCATGCACTGCTAACTAAAGTCATCCATGATCACAGACTCATAACCGTTGGGGCACTATGATCAGGCATTATGCACTCCAAGAAATGCGAACCAAGTAAAAGCACCAAGGTAGCAGAAAACCAGGGCAAAAGATCCACAAAAATTAACAGATCTTAGCTAATGCATAGAAATCAAATAAGGAAACTGCAAAATATGGCTTAGGAGGTGTACAAAAGATTCATCAAAAAATTACGGATCTTAGCTAATGCATAGAGATAAGAGAAGAAAACAGTAAAACTCAGCTTACAAAGGCGTACAAGGCATGTCCATGTTCATCGGCATTCACCACCAATAACGTACTTGCTACATTTATGATATTGCCAACTAGTAATGACTTTTCCATGACTCAAGAACAATAAGAGATGAAATATGTATCTAGGGGAAATTATTCAGGGAGGGGCATATGAAGATGTAATTTATCAATTGCTGCATTTGTATTCATTATACCAACATCTTATTTTTTTACTTCACTAACACCTCGTTTGGATCCTTGGAAATCTTGGTACTGGATTGTTATTTCCAAAATATGAGGCCTTGAACCTTTTTGGCACTCACCGAGTCCCAAACATACAAACTCCCCATTTAGCCCCATATCTTGGATAGGCCAACCCAAAAAAGAAAAAAAAGAAAAACTACAAGCAAATCACAGATTTGCTTATCCAAGTTTTCATGGTCGAGAGTGAGCTAGGGAGAGAAAGAGCACAGGTAAAGAGGGGTTAGTGATGCAGATTAAGAGATAGTTAAATCCATATTTTTGTTTTATTCTTTATTTTGACTTTTGGGTCTACTTGTAATTTTTATTAGGATATATTTTATGGAAAAATATTTATTTTACGAGTTCAGGTTATTATATTTCTTTTTTGGGAAGGCTTATCTTTAGATGGGTAGGTTTATCTTTAGAGAGTCCGCTTATATTTAAAAGGAGTTGGTTTAAAAAGGAGTTATCTTTTTGTTTTTAGGAAGGTGAAAGTCCGTACTTTTTTTGCTTGAGTTGCTTTTAGGCAAATTTGAGTTTTGTAGAAGCCTGGCCTTGGACGATAAAGTTTAGATTTTAGAAAGATAAGGTTATGAGGTCAGAGAAACAATGATGGATATGTCCTATTGTAGTGGTGGTTATTTTTGATGGAATGAAATAAGATTATTTTGTAAAAATTGAGAAAGAGAGAGAGAGAGAGAAAGCCCTTTTTTGTAGGTTTTTCTTTTCTGTACTCTGCTGGCACATGGTGGACTTGGACTCCCACATTTGTGCTTTCTACTTAGTTTTTTGTCTCTCTAAAACGTAGTTGTTTTGACAGTTATTGGCGGATGTTAATTTTCAATAACGTCAGGTGGTTTTCGAGCCTCGATTCTTATGGGATCGCAGTGCTCATTGACAAGGCATCATGGTTCGTGGACGTGATCGATAGCCAGGTATCGAGAATGAGAGTGCGGGACCTCCAAGACATAAAGATCAAAAATTTAAGAAAGCAAGTAGAGGAGCTAACCTATGCTTGGCACAAAATTCAACCCCGACACACTATGATGATGTTAGTGAGTTGGACATTGTTTTCGAGAACATGTTCCACGCGCACGCTCCGCATTGAGAGCCTCAAGGTCGGGAGAGTGATTTACCTAACTTTGATGAAGATCTAGTTGAAGGTGAAGAGCAAGCAGGTTTGGATCTTCAATTGGAATCATCAATCATTGATGTCATGTGTGACCCTATTTTTTATGAAGGTCCTCTATTTCATGAAGAACAAGATAAAAGGAGACAAATTGGCTTTGAGGTAACAAGTATATCTAACTTTCTCATCAATGGAGAGATGGATAAGCAAGATATCGACCCAAAACCAAAGGATATCGAGCCTATGGAAATATTTGACGAAGATAAAAAAAAGGCCTCAAAGGATAATCAATAGGTGAAATTGGTTCGACCATTAAATCTAGTGCTCATCTCAAAGATCCATATGTGGTGTGCCCTAAGGTTAAGTTTGAGCAATTTCAACAAGTTTGTGGTGGAACAAACTCTATTGACATACAACAACCCTTTACTTGAAGACTTACCCCTTTAAATGTACAATCGTTGTGTTATGATTAGTGCAATAACCCACAAGTCCCATGATCGTGTTTACAATGCTTGAGTTGAAGGAGGTTGCGAGGCTATTGACAAATCATCTCAACGCATTTTAAAACTCGAGGTCAAGTTTTTTCCATCCAGGGAGAATGATACAATTAAGAGATGGTTAAATCCATATTTTTATTTTGATTTTCTTGTAATTTTTATTAGGCTATTTTTTTTTAAGAAAAATATTTATTTAGGAGTTAGAGATTTGTTTTTCCATTTTTGCGAAGGCTTATCTTTAGATGGGTAGGTTTATCTTCAGAGAGTCCATTTATATTTAAGAGGTGTTGGTTTAAAAAGGAGTTATCTATTTGTAGGAGTTGTTTCGTTTTTAGGAACGTTAAAGTATGTACTTTTTTTGCTTGAGTTGCTTTTAGGCAACTTTGACTTTTTAGAAGCTTGAGTGCTTGACCTTGGAAAATAAAGTTTTGTTTTTAGAAAGATCAAGATAGGAGGTTAGAGAAACAACGATAAAAGGGGGATGGACATCCCATTGTAGTGGTGGTTATTTTTTGATGGGATGAAATAAGGTTATTTTGTAGAGCGAGTCATTTTTGTGGGCTTTTCTTTTATGAGCTCTGGTGGCATGTGGTGGAAAAATCGGACTCCAACGTCTGTGCTTTCTTCTTGAAGATTTATTTTTAGTTTTATGTCTCTCTAAAACATGGTTGTTTTGCCAATTATTGGCGGCCGGTAATTTTCAATTACGCCACATGCCACCAGAGCACAAAAAAAAAAAACCCACAAAAAGGGCTCTATCTCTCTCTCTCTATACAAAATAACCTTATTTTATTCCATCAAAACTACCCACCACAACAATGGGACGTCCACCCCCCTTTTATCATTGTTCTCTAACCTCCTATCCTTATCTTTCTAAAAACAAAACTTTATCTTCCAAAGCTCTACAAAGTCAAACTAGCCTAAAAGCAACTCAAGCCAAAAGTAAAAGCAACTCAAGCCAAAAGTAAAAGCAACTCAAGCAAAAAAAGTAAAGACTTTAACCTTCTTAAAAACAAAAAGATAACTCCTTTTTAAACCAACACCTCTTAAATATAAACGGACTCTCTAAAGATAAAGAGCGGAGTTGGAGAAAGGACATAGTTCTATAATTTTCACTTTAAAGCAATATATAGCCATAGTGGATATCTTCATTTTGGGGAAAAGATGCATCATATCAAACTTACCGTCCTACTTCAGGATTTTCCCATGTAATGTTTCGTCAAAGGGAAAGAAACCAATAGAGCATGGAATGAAATTAAGGAGCAAATAAACCCATTTTAGGTCAACTTGGGGAGAGGAAAGCAAAAAGCTTGGAGAAGTTAGATACAATGGATGAACTAGATGAAACCATAGGCTTTCCAAAGGGGATGTGCAAAAAGAGCTGAATTAAGGTGATGCAGGGGAATTTGAGGGAACAGTAAAATCAGCAAGAAACCAAGCTAAAAACAAGCATAAGTCGAAGAAACCTAGGGTTTCTTCTCCATACCCAAGCTAGGGTTCCAAAAGCCT